AACCTTATATCCCAAAGGTAAATTTTCAAGTACTTTTTTTCTCAATGTAGATCCGATCAAACTCATTCTTCATCGTGTCTGTCCTTTGCTCTCATACCGCTCCGAGTACTCTCCGCGTTTGCGGAGGATCTTCCTCGGAATCTTCCGCGAGTTACGCGGAAATGCGCGATCAATTTCATTTCATTCCACCCGACACTCCTGCAGCCCCTGCCGCGTAAGTTTCTTCGCCCGGTAATCTGCCGATTCAATGTTCCCGTTACACGTACGCCGCACCGACTATTTTCCGCGTTTCCGCGCGAACCCACTACCACCAGCATTCGTACACGTCACGTGCCGACCATATAATAACGAGGTGGATAACATAACGAGGCTTACATGCCCCGAATTCGCACCGACCGGCTCTCTGCGTCCGACTCGCGGTAGTTTTGTCCCCCTCTTCCTCCTCCCTCTCCCTCACTCTCACTCTCTCTCTCTCTCTTCATAATTCTTCGCCGTCTTCTTCTTTATCCCCGATAATTCGTCTGCCGAAGGATACCCCCGGGGATACTGCCGCAAACACGAACGGAAACAGTTACACTTATTTCTCGCCTTTACAGCTGTGTGCGCCCGCCGTCGTCTTCGGCGCGATATTTAAGTGGGTTGAGAGCGGCGCGAAAGAGGAGAGCGAGAAATGTTGCGCGAATAAAGGACTCGACGTAAAAAAGAGAACGGTTGTAAACGCGGGGAATAAAATTTCCCGCTCGTTCGCGGGTAGCCGTTCTTCTTATCTAACGACGAGTCGTCACTGCGGGAATCCATTGTTCCTCGAACAATTTTGCTTTTCGTGCGCTCGCGAAGAGAAGAGCCGACAGTATCCCCGCTTCGAGCATCGCCCGCTCGCCCCGCGATACGCGTCCGCCTTCCCCGCTTAATTTTTCATGTTCACGATGACGAGGGGGACAGACGTAAAGAGAGCTTACAAATCTTCCGACGAGCCTCTTCGTGACGCGACCCGCTTTTAATCCGTTCGGGAGCATACGGGGTTAAGGATCGCAGCTCATCGTGGCGAATCGATCCTCCACGAGAACAGATTCGCCGACAAGCCCGCCCGCGAGAGNAAGCCCGCCCGCGAGAGCCCCCCCCCCCCCCCTCCCCTCGTCAACCCGTGTACACACGCGGAGGTTGCACGGATATTACGGGGAACATATGCGCCGACCCCAAGGATATGTAACCAGCGGCCGTTGACTTCATAGGATACATATCGCACGGACCACCTGCTACGCAACGAGCGTCCTACCTCGGGGCGTAATCGCGCCGCTCGGAGAGCGTATCGCGGATTCGTTCCGCTCCTTCGACGGTGAGCCCCGCTCGAGAAATCGTTACGGGAGCGTTAATTGTGTCCTATCACTCAGTGGACAGTGCGCGGGCACATTCGCGCGCGAAGTTTCATAGACGAAGCAGCACAGGAGAAAAAACTCGTGTTAAATTTAATACGTCACATTAATGCTCCACACCTCGTGGCTTTATCTTACACTTTTTACACGTGCAAACCGATCTGCCGCAGCAGTGTCGCTTTTGGCGGCAGACAAATAATTGAAAACAGTGATGGCATCTCTGCGTGACATTTAACATATAAAACATGTTGATTTGACAAATGGCAACTGTTACCGAAAAAATAGATAATTCTGAAACTACATAATATTTATGTTAATATGTTTAGTTACATGTAAATTGTGTTGTTTCAAGAAAAAAAATGTTGAATATCGATTCAACGCCAAATCTTTAACAGAATCACATTATGTTACGTTAACACACTCCGTGTTGAGAATTCAATACAGAACTTTTAACCGATTTTAACCCTGAAAAAATATTTTTTTACCGTCAATGACCGAAGATCCATCCGTCTACCGGCAAGTTGAAAAAACAATATGGCCAAGAGGAAAAAGCGTATGTTCCTCGGGATCGCACCTACCAAACAAAAGTCACCCTCCGTAACGTTTTACCTCGTCGAATTACTTCACAATGGACACGGCGCGCGACCCCTTTCGACCCCCGTTCTCTCCCCCTCGCGAGAGACGTTCTCTCTCTCTCTCTCCCCGCACACAAAACATAATTATCCGAAATCCCAAACAGCATGAAAATTTTATCGGCGCCCCCTTCCCCTCGCCGATAGACGCGGCCCATTAGGACATCGGGTGATAATTAATGTTTACGTAACGAAGGGCCAGCGGATTCCGCTTTTGAATTTCTTCTTTCGAAATTCTTTTGAATTTTGCGACCCTACCACCAACGACGAGATTCCGCCGAGCGATATGGCGCTTTTGTGCCATTTGCGTCACGCCAAGCTTTAACCCTCGTGGTTATAACTCCTTTTTTCTCTTTCTCTATATATATATATATATTTCTCTCTCTTTTCAAATAATTCGTCAAAATTTCTCGAATCAAAGCTTATCGCGTTACAACACAATGAGAAGAGTTTGTTACACGACGTAACCGTCATGTTAACAAGTGCGACACGCGCATGGAAAGGGCGCGATGTTATCTTATCGACACACTCGGAAATAAATAACCTCACTCTTTCGTCTTGTGTGCGTATGTGTGTATATCCGAAGGGCGTTCCGTTCATGACACGTGACAATATCCGAATAGAAAATTACTCGAAGCGGTCACGTATGTCACTTCCGACTATGCGCAAATCTCCTTACGAGCGAGCCATAAGCCGCGCTTCTCGTCGCTGCGTAAACGGCCAGATAAAAATTAATAAATTGCTGGTCTTCGTGCGAAGAAGAGAGACAAATCGAGAGGGGGCCGCTACTTTAACGCGCGAGCACATCCCTTTAAACGCACTCCGGCTCGTGGAGGTACACGTCGAGGTAATCGCCGAGAGATGCACGAGCCGCGATAGCGGCTGCCTCGAAACGGCAGTTAAAGTCGATTGTACCGTCACATCCGTGCCGGCCGGCATGAAATATTTATATTACCGTGACGATTACTACGTCACGTAACCGCGGACGAGAGCGACGATGATTACATTTACCTTTGCCGGCCGCGGCGGAGGTCGCGCGGCAGGGAGAATCGTTCGCTACTATCAGTTAACAATGTTCGTTACGTTGACGGTATGTATATATATAGATTTACATCCGCGTTACATTCGTTCGGGAAATTTCGTTCCGAAGACTATCACGGCGCGTTTATTCACGCGATTAACTTGTTCCCCGCTGTGCTTCGCACTCGAAGAGTGCGTCTCACGGACGCGAAGCGATTACAAGTCGCTCTGTTTCCCCGGAGGTTGCCGGAGGCAGGGGAAAGGGCTAAAACTCGTGTAAAGCGCGTATATAACTTATACGAAGTTCACGGATTTTCGCTGCTGACGTCGAGATAGGCAGAGTCGTCGTTCCCTATTCCGTAACGCGTTTAGGCTAACGAGAAGCAGTGTGTGTGTTATGCGGCAAGAACGGCAGTAGTTATCGTTAAAAATGCATCCTCGCGTGCGCCGCGTTCCTTCCCGCCGCTGCAGCAGTTCCCGTCCTTTTTTCACACCCGCCCGTCCGCCCGCGTCGCACGGTGACACGCACGAAATCGGTGAGCCGCGACATATGCTGATTTTTAAATAACGTCCGGCCGACAGGTGACCCGCCGCGAATCGCTGTAAACAACGTCACGGCTACGAGGCGATCCGCTCGTCAAAATTCGCGCGCGTTACGCGTGAGACTGCCGAACGGTCTCGCGAGCTGATCGCGTCGTTTCGGCCGCTTGATATTCTCGCGGAGAATAAATTTTTTTCCCCCGAGAGAGAGAGAGAGAGAGAGAGAGACGAGATCTCCGAGCTTCACCGGCGATCGTTACGAAAAGTCGGCCGGAATCTCCAAGTACGTTCGTCGTAATGCTAAATATCGCGCGTATAACGAGCGACGCCGTTTCCGGGGCTCCCAGGGGGCCGGTAATCTCCCTTCTTCGGACATTAAAACGGTAAACGCGCGATCCCCGTGACTTTTTAATCGTCCAACCAGGTCGACGAAGCGGCCGCTCGCCTCGTTCCCGCTCGAGCGAGTCGAGTGAATAATTCACCTCGATCGATAGGTCGCTCGCTCGTTGGCCGGCCAGCACGCTCGGCGGAATTAATTTAAGTAATTTGACGATCGCTATCGACGGAAGCATTAAATAAAGCACCGTGTCCCGCTTTGGGCGAGCCGCGCGTTTAGATTGTTACGTAGATCGCCGCGGACGACGGGCCGCCCTCGCCGTTTTTCCCGCGGCCATCGTTGCATACCTGAGTGGTTGATCAGGATGAGTGGGTCGTCATCCATTTCCACGGTTGTCATTACGTCAAGGAGGCCGCGACATATCGCGACTGTTTGCCGACCCGTCTCGCCCCCGTCCGCCCGCTCGCCCACCTGTCGCCACGAAAATGACGATTCCCGCTGTTTTCAGACGAGCTCTTCCGCGACGATATTATTATACCGCGGGCTCATCTCGCCGCGCGCTTACGGCCGACTGAACTCCTCAACGTCGCGTGGACGTCCTGGAAAGAAAAAAAAAGAGAAAACGTATCGATGTTCGAAAAATGGGACACGCTGAAAAATGATTTTGGTCGGATCTATCTGATCTAATGAACAAACAAGCGCGTTCTCGTCGAGGGAAACAAAATTTCTAGTTTCCATGAGCCAAATTTGGTTCTTACGATCAGAACCTTCGTTTCCTTCAAGCGAGAAGCGTTTGCGCCGTACATTGTCAGGTAGGTCCAACTAAACTCACTTATCAGCGCAATTTCACGGGAAGTCATAATCCCCAAATCCGAATATCGAGAAAATCCCGCGAATTGTAGCTTCCTTTGTTTAACCACCGGCTAACTGATTTATCTGGCCATTATCTAACTGCTAGGAGAAATAAGTATCACATCATTGGCTAATAGCGATGTCAGATACAAATTTAACACCTCGTAGCTACTACTAAGATATTACGATCGTTAATCGAGTGGTGCAGCGAACTCGTACCAACATCGGCTTCGCTATTCGTTACAGGAACGGGAGGCGGAGAAGATCGCGGAGGAAGCCGCGGCTCTGCGCGACGTGAAGACGGAACTGCCGCCGGCGAGGAGTCCAGAAAGCTGGCACGGCAACCCTTATTATCGGCATCTCAGTGTTCTCAAGGGTGAGCGAGAGATATCGCGCGAATTAGCTCGTGGACGGAGAGCGCGAGCGGGGGGTAGCCTCGTCGAATCGAAGCGTCAAGAGTAACGCGCGAGGCCCGAAGCGTAAGCTCCTGAGACGAGACCGAATCGATAATTAGCTCATTAAAAAGTCCTCGCACGACTTGGGGAAAAGGACTCGAATTCTCTTTCCGTTGCTTTCTTTAACGTTCGCGTCACGGCTGACGACGCGGTGTCGCGCTTGCGAGCTGAACGCTGAAACGGATGGAATAATTCTTGGCATTTCCGCCGGAAGGCGACGCTTCTACGCGAGGTCGTTCGAAACGAACGTTTTTGTCGCGATGTCGTTCGGAGGAAGCTCTTCTTTTCCGGTCGTTATCGCGGCAAATCGTCTCTAGAGCGTTTCCGCCGCGATTGCACCGGTGCGTTTACGCGCGCGAATAGCCGCGAGTCCGGAGGGTCGCCCGTGACTCGTCCCGCTGATATTAGTAATTAATTAGTAACTGCCATGGATCAAGCGGCCCGCCGAGAAGATCGGAGTTCCAATTAATTAGAGTAATTAGTCGCGACCGGAGTGTTAAATGGAAACGGAGGGTTGCCTTAATATCAGACCGGGGAGGGGTGGATCTTTCAGACTGTAATAACGCGGAAATGGGTTGCGGATGGCCTCGACCAGCCAAGGGGCGTGATTTTCACCGACGCTTGCGCGTACCCTGTCTCTACGCCGCTCGACGTCGCGTTCCGTCGTCGTGACTCGCGAGCGCGACGCCACGCGACGCATCGTGTGTGTGTGTGTATGCGCCGCGTTTTCTTCTAATTTCCATTAACGGCGGCCGACGCGGCGAGTGGCTATTACACAGCATGCGGGGAACACGAACGGGACAAATTAAAGATCGTTCTTACATATTAACGTTAATTAATATAAATTTTCCGAATTTTCATATTCCGCGTCAATGTCGATTTTTCCACGGACTCCGGCGAGGCGAACCTCTTGAATTTTCACTGAGATCGTCGCAGCTCGAAATATTTTCCTCGTCGCTAACGACGAGTACGGTGCGTGACGACACAACATGTAAGCACAGAGAGCACGCTTGCAAATACGGCGCGCGTTTCAGGATTCGAGACGCTCGCACACTCGACATTTCGCACCCACGCATTCCCGTATATGGACCGACACGCACACACAGGTGTGCGTGCGCACGAGTATCAGCCGGTAGAGCGACGGATCCGTCCATTCAACGCGAGCGTAAGCCGAAAATAACGAGATAGGTGCTGCATCGACGCGATGAATACGAATACAGGATCATTGGCAGTGAACGCCAGGCACTTTGACTAACGTACAGCCCTCGGAAAAAGTCCGCGATTTTCCGACCTCCTTCTTCCCATCCGGCAGGGGCGATCCTTTCAGACGGCCTCTTTTGAGCCGGCAACGCGAAGCCAAGTCAAGACCGTCCCGATTCAATGGAACGTCGCGTTCGCTAGTCAAACGGAAGAAAACTAATTAGCACGTGACGCTCGCTTTTACTTTTTGTCTCGACGATAGCGAAGGTTTTTCCATTTTCTTGCTGACGCTGTGTCTCGTTCACATCGGACACGCAACTTCATCGGCCGAAATCTGCTACTACTGGCTTCTGCACAGAGAAAAAGATCCCTTTGGATTTAATAAAATTTCTTTAATTGAAACAAATTTGTCCTTTAAAATGGAACAAACGAATGCTTGATTCAAACAAACAGGATTGTTTTGACATTTATTGTTTGGCTTCTCGAACAATAAATATCTTTATGTCAAGTAACATATTTCTTTTGTTTTCATCCAAGCGTTATAATGATTGTCACGAGTAATAAATTATTTGAAAGAAGTAACACTATGTTAGAAAAATACTAAAGAACTTCTTTTTGTTCCAGCGGAACAATACTTAATATATAATGAAATAATTTTTTTTATTGAATATTAAATACAGCATTTCCTCTAAATGATATTGTTTTCTCTGTCAAACAACACGGTTAACTTTAGCGGAACAACGTTTTCACTCAAACAAAATGATATTGGATATTAAATTATGTTATTTATATTAAACAAATCCAAATCAAGTAAATATATATATTATATATAAATCCAAAAAAAAACTCTTTTTTTCTCTGTGTACTCTTGAAATTTCTTGCAGCGAAATCCTTCGCTCGGAAGGTAAAGCGACAGCCGAGTCATTCGAATGACTTTTCACTCGTATCGAGGGAATTCTCCGCTCTGAATCGTCGAGTGAATATTTTCGCTCGAAATTCAAGAGCGAGCTTGATGCGACAGGAATCAAAATCCGCTCGGGAATCAGCTCGAGTGAAACGTTCGCTCTTACAATTCCGAGTACTTTCGCGATCTTTCTTCGCTCGTTTTCAGTGAGATTTCACTCCAAGAAATTTTAGAGAGTATTTACGCTTATTTTCGCGAGGACACATACGGGCACGCGACACGCGAGAAAAATGACGGCGTCCGCGGCGGATTAATTTTGCGCGAACGCGCGTCCGCCGGTGCTCGCGCGCGGTGCTCGACTCCGCTAATTACCGGACGATAATTATTGCAGGAAACGAGCCGGCGGCGGAAAGGGCGAGTTCCGATTGCTCGGCTTGTCGTCCACGTATGTTTTACGGCCAAGTCCACAGTCCGTCCGCGCCGACCAATTAATTCGAGCTGGCTGGATTAATCGACATGCAGCAACAGCGCATGAGGAGGACACATTTAATCCGTACCGTTCTGTAAGCTTGCGACACGTCCATTGCCTTAAAGCGCATTCGTCGATCTTTCTTCATCCTCGAATTTAAGGCTTCAGCGCAACAATTGTCTTGCCCGATTTCCTAAGGACCTGAGGAAGTTAGTCCTCGAACCTCGACGGAGTTTTTTCTCGAGGAACCCAATGTAAATTGATTTGAACGATCGATCGATCGTTCGAGCTTAAACCAAAGTGAATCAATTGAATCTGACGTTTGACCAACTTAAACCTTTAACTTCCAATATATGAGTATTTTCTTTTTCAATATACGCTAGGTTTAAATTTACAAATTAATTTTCTCCAACCGTTAAGAGAGTACGTCAACTCGTTGTTACACTCAACCCTTCGATTTATAACTAGCTTCACGTTCACGCGGCATCGCTGAAATCGTGCTGTCTAAATTTCTCCGAGTGGAATCTCACTCACAACAAGTGAAAAGTGGCGGTATTTTCATTCGAAGCGACAATGAAAATATCGCCGCTCGAAATCGCAAGAGTGAATCTTTCACTCGCACTTTCATTCACAAGTTTAGAGTGGATTCTGACTCTGTACGAGTGAATGTTCAACCAGTTACAGTAAATTGCTCCCGTAGAACACATCGGATTCACTTTTCAGTTTCGAGAGAAAATGTTCACTCGACGATTCAGAGTAAAGAATACTCATTCTCTACGAGTGAACAATCATTCGAATTCGAGTGACTCGGCACTGTCACTTTACGCTTCGAGTGGAATTTCACTCCAAGAAATTTAGAGAGCGGACCCGATCTATAGTTGTAAAGCCCATATCTGCAAAATATGGATCTGTCACTAGCGAATATTAGGAAACGTTTCGTTTCGCGCGATCGCGACATACGGCCGCGATACAAGCGAGCGAGCAGATCGATAAGCTCGAATCGAGTAGCTCTGCAAGAAGCTCGCGAGTATTCGTCGCGAATGTATACATGACGTACATGTATGCCTTACTATTCTAGATCAAAAATTACGCGATTTTCAGCCTTACATGTATACAAATAAGGTCGAGACCGTTATAATTAGAGCCATTGTAACACTACTATTATAATTAGAATTACTTAGACGATTTTCGACCTTGTACAATCAGTTAGAAAAAAGCTTGCAACGCTTTTTCTTTATAAGTTTCGGGACGCATTCCGTGTCCGATAGGAGAATTTGTTTTAGTTAGTAATTTTCAGGAGATACATTTTTCTATTGGGTGAAGTGAGATGCGTTGCGAAAAAACGCGTTGCAACCTTTTTGTGACTGACCATGCATGGGTAAGCTTAAAATCATTCAACCCTCTCGATCTGAGGAATGGTAAGGCATATACGATGCCGGCTAAGACAACGTTCGCTATTATGTCGCAACAGAACGAAGGAGACGAGGTCACGTCGATATTTGCGATTCCGGAGATCCTGCGGAGCGAATTCGCTCATCCGGTTCCGTATTACGTCGATCGTCGTCATTTTTTAGCGACTACTCACGGTAATACAGGTACGGGCGCACTTCTATGCGAGCGAACAGACGAAGATGCTCCTCACGAACTCGCGGAAACACACGATTCGCGTTTGCAGCGAGTAATCTAATGTTGCAAGTGTCGTGTAAAATTATCGTACGTTTCGCTACAACGTCCTACGTCTTGGCTCTTACTTGCCTTTCATTATTATTTCATCGTAAACTTCGAGAGCCTCTACATTTATAAGTAATTGCAAAATTCATTCAGACACACGATATGGCGAGTGTCTAATTGGCCAATGTTGACGCACACTTGTCGTATCGCGTGGCTGTAACCCTTTCCAGTTTGGTTCTGCATATCACCATGAAACGTCACAGTCAGACAAGAAAGAGCGAGTATTCTTCGGTGGTCTCTTTTCCCTTTCTATTTAACACACTTCTCTATCAAGGGGACTATCGCAGCCCTTTTTTTTCGAGTTACAACAGAACAGCCACGTCAAGCGGCACGATAGTTGGAACATGAGAGTTCCGTCTCCTGATGAAGCTGGTCAGAGAAAAGAATTATTTTCTACTAGATATCTGCTCGCAAACGAGTCGTGTGCCACCACGAGCGGTGTAACCGATACCGTCCGTGACGAACCCGATGTACTACGAACCAAGTCGCAGCGTGATTCACCGCGAGATTTCGCCGAGAGATTCGGCCGCGACACGACGACGCTCGTCGCGATCGCGAGAGAGCAGCCAGCGTAGCTTAGGATCGATGATCACTTGTCGCGAGGACGACGTTACACAGTGCAATTATACTTAATTACGTCGCGTAATCGAATTAAGCCGGGAATTATACGGAGAGACGACGAGTCGAATAGGACGGAGAGAATAGAGGATCCTTCGCGCGCCTCACACCGTATTGTCGCCGCAGCTGTAAGTACCGCCGCTAGTAGAGTAACAACACCGAATTGCATCATACTGAACATACTGTAGATGACAGCGTGTGTGGAAAACCACGAGTGTAATCCAAGTTCTAATAAAAATCATGATCACTGGGAAAAAGAGACGGTGTGCCGGTAAAATCACTCCCGTCCTCCCGTCGCACGTGCGCAAAGATCGATTTGAAGGGAAACGATACAATTTGGCCGGGTCAACTGTTGATTATTCTGTACAATTAGCGGTCATGCCGACGCAATCGAGTCAGCTTAGATTTTCCGAGGCGATAACGCGTTTTAGGCAGTTTCAAGTAGCAGCCAGAAAAGTGTACTTCGCATTTTGCCGCATTCCGACGGCGCGAAGTAACGTTAACAAGAGCGGTAATCAAGACCGAATGCGTTATCAGCGGCGCGACACTATCAGGCGGCGCGCGTGTCGGGGAGAAACAAATCTTTTTCAATTACTGGAGGAAACTGCCGTGCCGTAGGATGTGCCGCACGATGTAATCCCGCTCGTCGCTTATACATCCCGGCCCGCGCAAAATCCTTGGGGAGTCCTCCCGCGTGGTACGTAAGAACGCTCCAGTGAACAAAAACCCTTAACTGATACAGCCCTGCGGTCCCCGGACGGTCGTCAGCAGAATTTCGGATTTCGACCACACACATGGTACTCTTACGCTCGCGAGAACGAACGAAGACTTTTTTCTCAACGTGCGATCGGTTATAATAAGTTACAAGTCTGATCCGAGAACATTATTCACCCGGTGGATTGTAATTACAACAAATCGCGTAGCGTTCCACCTGACGCTTGACATTTCATCGCCCGGAAGTCTGTTAACAAGCGCACACTTGGCTTCGTACGCTTGGTTTAATAACGTAACTGATATCCGGTAGAAATTGTTTTTGAATAATTTCCAGAAGTTAAGATCTCTCAGTCAATAAGAACTGTAGGATAGTACGAGCTGGAATGCCGATCTCGGTAAACAACCACAATTTTTTTAATCATTTTGCCAATCATATGTATCGTATATTAAAATTCTTTACGTTTCGGTCACGGTTTCGAATCCTTTTCAATGGAAAAAATTATAACTATATAAGCTAAATTGTCCTTTCCTCTCTTTTTTAAAGATCTTTCATTAGACATCGGCTGTGTTCCGAACAACATTGAGAGAAAAGCGTTCAAATCGTATTGAAATCAAGAATAGCGACGGTACCGGTAGATAAAATGTTAATTTACCAAGATAAATAAAATTCTTATCAGAGACTCTCTTCAGTATGAAATTATACTCGGAGTCTCGATGCACTGAGAATCCCACGAAATATCAGTATTGATAATGACGAAGGGCGAGGGGACGAGGAGAAGTCGTGGCAAGAGGGTGTCAATAATGGACGCCCGTAGGAGAAACATCGTCTGCGTCTAATGTTCCGGCAAATTGGTTTCGCGAATGTAGCCTCGGCCGCCTCCCGAGAGGAATCTGCAAGTACGAGCGGGATCTCTCGTTGCGCCGATTTTTTTCCCGTAAGTACGTCACGTCTCGACGATACGGGGATATACATCCACGCGCCTCGCCGAAATCGGGTTCCGCGGGGGGCCAGACAATCTCGTAACCGAAGGAATTTGTAAGGAGCGGAAGGTGAGGGTAGCATACAGCCGAAAGCGCGGAGCATTCCTTCGCGAATCACGGTAAGTCAAACTTACGATCGAATTATTACTATAAGAGCTTTGTTACTTTATAAACTAATGAAGCAGTAAAAAAATATATACATATGCATATAATATACTATAATTTTTAAGGGACTCGCGGAAAAAGCTGGTTTTTCCAATCTTCCTGCAGTTCTTTTCAGTTTCTGCAAAAAACGTGAGGGAACATTTCTTTCCATTTTTCTCCATGGATCTTTCGCTTTCTTTCCGCGGAATTGAAGAGTTTTTTTAATCATGTAACTTACATGTAAAATATGTAATCAAATATATGGACAGATATATGTCACCAAGTTCACGGAATTAAGGTACGTAAACATGCAATCAGAATTTGAGAAAGAGAGAGAAAGAGGAGGATTGACGAAGAACATTGCGAATCGATTTGTTCCACGCACCTCCGTGCTCTCCCACCTCGCGCAAAGGTCGCGTATAACGAGCCGCGATTTAAATACGCGCTTCAATCGTCCACAATGGAGACGTTGGAGCGGGTATTTAAAGAAACATTTTAATTGCAGGCCGTAAGCCGCTTACATGTCCCCTCTCTCGTACGTTAATAAAAACAACCCCACCCGTCTATTTTAAGAAAGCGGTCGAGCCATTGTGCCCCTCGCGGCAAGTAATTCGACCTGTTCCTGTTTCGGCTAGCCAAAAATTGCGCCCGATTCCCTTCACTTCGGATATAAAAGAGAAAAAATTTCGCGAAGGACGCCTTGTTAGCGTATTGTGTTCCGTTTAGAATTTTAAAAATCAAGCAGATAATATTTCTTCAGCGAGAGTATTTTTTTCTCATTGCGCGCACGCAATCTCCACGTCCCGCCTTTCCATAATAAAGAAATACGCTCTCT